GTTTACAATAACGGTAGTGAGTTCTGCAATGACGTAATGTAATCGCTAGTACTCGTATCAGGCATATGCCAAAAAGAAGTGTGCCATATAAACCGCAAACGCAAGGCGCGAATGAAACGCGCCATAGAAGACTTAAGTTCTTCTTGCGTACTGCATTAACGGAGGATGCAGATGATTGGCCGTACCACCTTAAGTGGGTACAAACACAGATGAACGAGTGTGCTGATCCGGTTACAGGAACTACACCCGCTCACTATTCTCGTGGTAGATATAGTGAGTTACAAATACCCTTTAACAAGGACGAACCGGATCACCATGAGTTACCATGGTTAGAGAAGGTACAACGTATTTATAACGTTGTATATCCTTGCTTGCGAGAAATACGCAACATAGCTTTATTAAAAAGGCAAAAGCGTTGGAACACTACCTAGAAGATAGTAGAGTATCAGGTCGGTGACAGAATAAATATCCGTTAACGTAATTCCGATGCTACTATATTAACATCTAAATGGAGAGGCCCATATATAATCTCTGCAGTAGACACTAAAAGTGGAACGTACGAGGTAAATATCCCCGATGGGTTCTAGTGTGCTTAATATAGGCACAAGTCGTATTCCGACTACAGAGATTATACTCGCAAGAAGACATGATTCTAATGCCCCTCTTGATCGTTCTGAGTTTAAAGACATTATATGGAGAACGGATAGGGGAGGCTATACATACTATCGTACACGCTTTATAGACGGTACAATTGCTGAGTTGACTTCAGATGCTTTTGATAATCAAGACTATTTAAAAGCCTTTAAATAGAAAATGGCGTAAACGCCTGCATAAGTCTCAAGATGAAAAGGTAGCATGTTTCCATCGTCTGAAGGCACGGAAGTTAACACTTATCCGCCTGCAGCATTTATCCCGAGCTTTAATGCTCATCTTTCATATGTGCTTAAGACACTGAAGCGTAAGAAACGTCCAGTCGACCACCACGAACCTACTGAACCTAGCCCAAAACGCAAAGGGTAACCGAGAACGCTTAACTTCTCCGCCTGAGAAACATTAACTATATGTTATGCTACTTAATGTTTCGACCAGTTTTTCCTTTCTTGCTTTTTGACCCATAATCAGCTTGAGTGAGCAACTTGCTTCTCATGGGTCTCAAAGCTGGGTGGGGGCTGTGTAATAAGTCGGGCCTCCACATTAGAGTCAATGTTATAAACGTACTCTTAAGCAGTACGTAAATTATAAACGCATTTTAATAGTACGATGAACTTAAGTTTCCTCAATGTACTCTTAATAGTACGAGGAACTTAAGTTTCCTAAATGTACTCTTAATAGCACGATGAACTTAAGTTTCCTAAAATGGTTTTAATGGTTTTATTAGTTAATACCTTTTCCATTTTACATATCCGATTTTTGGACGAGGCCGTTAAAGGCATCAGTAAAATACCAAACACAAAGAGTTGGTCTTGTTCCATTAATAGAACTTTATTTACTTTCCAACTTTATTTATATCTGAATACTTCGGTAGTGAGATGGCTCAACCGAATATAGGTTTCTAGGGACTATTAACGCTACCTAGTTGATCCTTCGATCAGCCAACCAGATGTGCCAGTCTGATGAAGGCTAAGTCGGTAATTCTTGATAAGTGGCATGTTATTGGTTAAGACAATAACTAAGGACATCAAGAGTATTTTTATTTCTATTTATTTATTTTTTATCTAAAGATTGGATTTTATGAGTATCTCAGATTCGCCCCAACGAAACACACCATAGTTTCTAATAGAGCGACAACGAAACACTAAATAAAATCCAGCGGAAACAGTACTGAGTGGAAAATATATAGGCAATGTCTCAGCCTCAGAATCCCTCAGAGTATTGCTGTTTTCACGAGGCATACCTAACTTTAACTAAATGTCTTATTTCATTTATTTACTGTGATATTTTCACGATACTTAGAATTTACCTACGCGTTTATTTATTCTAAGGCGTTAATATCGCCTTGAGAGACCGAATCTTGCATCAGTACCTACCATGGTGCTTTATATGGAATATGCGTTTGCTGTTCGGTACATCATTGAAGTGCGCTGTGCCCGTAGGCCACCCGCACTTGGGGGGATGTAATACTAAGGTACCGAACTATTAGGTGTGTGAGATAAAATACTAAACCGGCGCACGAAAGGGATTTGAGAAGATAACAAATAAAGATAACAAATACAGACACAGAAACGAAACGCACTACAGATAGATTATGCGTGCGTTTAGAATGGACATTGGTGTAGTTGGAGTTTTAGAGTACCGGATAGTTGTCCACAGTTGGGGATGTGGAGGTGTCAGGCCACGAGGCCATGTGGTGGCAGCTGACAGGTATACAGTGAACAACAATTGAGGGAAGATACAATGTACAAGACTACAGAGAGGGCGAGCATACCACTAGGGAGCTCGCCGAGTTAATTATCAAACCTTATACGTATTGGACTTGCGCGTATCAATATAAGAATAGTGTTATATAAAATGTGTCCGGTCGGTCACTAGTAGGGTGTCACTGACCTCAAACGGTTTCCCGTTAAAACCTTTATAAATCGAATAAATATACGTTTACGTTAAACTTTTATTCCATATATAGTCTTTTCTATGATACTAGGTGCAGTTTTCGGGTCTAAAAACGGAAGTGTGTACTGTTTTTAATATATGAACCAGTACTCTATAAACAACTTAGGTGGGCGTTTCTAACTACATTGTCACCGTTATAGCGTTTCAAAATGAACAAATATGCGTTTACGTTCAACTTCTATCCCGTACCCCCAGGGGCCCGGGCCCCATAACGGCATAACGTAATGTACTTAGATAAATATGTATTTAGCAGGTCAGTGTCACGTTGTTGTGTTTGTTTTTTTTTGGGTTTGTTTTTTTATTAAAAACTATCAAAACAAAACAAGCGATTCATACAGCTATTTAGTATTTACTCTGCTAAATAGTAAATACACTCTACAAGCCTAAATACAGCTATCAATTTATACTCTCTAATAGAGTGAATATATTTACAACATAGTTACATTATTACATCCTGTACTGGTAAATACATGATACTTGGTCTCTGATAAAAATCCAAAATAAAAGTCTGGTATGCCGGGAGCAATTAGTAAGTAGCTTTTTTTTGCGAACGTTTTGACCAATAAATTGTCTTAATCAACATTCGAAATTAATGATTTTCAGGGATATATTACCGACGTACCGTCCTTGACTTTCCAATAAAAATCTCAGCTTATATGTGTAAGACCAAAAAGACCCTCTCGTTTGAATAGAACAAACTTTAGGAGTTTGTTTACAAAAAATTATTTCATATGAGTAAGGAGGCTTTGCCGCTATGGAGAAATGCTTGTTTTATTCACCATACAAATATTTAGTTTCATATCTGACGGACTGACGACGAAAAACAGCAAACGCACTCATGTCTCATCCGCCCGCCCCTCTCTCTCTATAGAGTCTCTACTCTCTACTCTACTAGAGAGAAGTGTATAATTTTTAAAGGGAGAACAAACAAATCCGACTATTTTTAGAGCCTGCGCCCTGCGGGCCCGCGCCCCGCGCAGTCTTGTGACTGGTGTGCGTTTTATCTGGAGTCTGCGCTGATATACGATAATATCTATAATATACAGTTATGTACTACAGACCTGAATGCGTGCTTTTAAAAATAAAAAACAATAAATACGTAATTACATAGAGTGTACAGAGTACAGACTACAGACGCACGAAAATTGGCAAGACCAACAGATCAGTGCAGAACAGTGACCCGATTGACTATCTTCCATTCGCCACCGCTCCTATTTGAAAGCCACTATAAATACTGTAATAATTTAGTTGTTATCGAACACAATTCACTAAAGAGGTCCTTTCTGGTATCAGGCAGACATGAAAGTGACTATAACATGGATATTTACCGCCATCGCTATTACTAGTCAGGCGTGCGTAAAAGCAGCCTCCTGCCGAAGCTTGCGAGAAGAGCCAAAGACCCTGGATGATTGTTTTAACGAGTTCAAAAACCCGATCGCAGCGCTGGATTTGGATACGTTCCGCGAAAATGTGAAGGGATGTGCATGGACCGGCCATTTGAACACTGATACTGATTCTATCGCAGGGGCTATAGGTGCCGCGGACCTGTTCGATGGCATCGCAGCGCGATCGAGCGAAATGAACGATGAGTCCAAATGGGTGTTGGAGCAATATAATTTGACCGCGCCTGAATACATTGGTGATTTTCCAGATAAGAGTGTTTGTCTTGTGGATGTGAACCAGATCACACAGCTCCCTCAGGATCTGGATACAAATCGAATCGTAGGGATTGTGGACCATCACGCTCTACAATCCAGTACAGTGGTAATTGATACGCCCGTTCGTATAGACATTAGGCCCGTGGGAAGTGCCTCTACCATAGTTGCGACCTATTACGGCTCCGCAAACAAACCCATGAGTGAGGTCATAGCAGGTGTATTGATGAGCGCTATTCTTTCGGATACACTGAATTTGAATTCGCCTACGACAACAGAACTCGACAAGATGATGCTTACATGCCTGGCGAAGCAATCTAAGACGAGCGATCTCGATTCATATGCCGACGCTATGTTTAAAGCGAAAGCGAATGGATTCAATAATCTCGATGATGATGAGGTAGTGCGTGCAGATACCAAGGAATTCGACCTGTGTGGGAACAATGTTGTTTGGGCGACTGTGGAAACAACAGACCCCGCTTCAATGATGGCACGGAAAGAGGCACTCGCCGAAGCCATGAAGAAACTGAAAATTGAGAAAGACGCAAAGTACGTATTCCTATCGATTGTTGATATTGTAAATCTAAATACTGATTTGATACTCATCGGAGAAGATGAGAGAGAACTGGCTATCGAGGCATTCAAAGCGCAGGTCAATGCTGATGAGGAACTGGTAATGAATATTGGCAATCTAGTCTCACGGAAGAAAGACTTTATTCCTACAGTCCAAAACGCTATCTGCGGAGATGAAGAGTAGTTGTCTACCTTAAATATGAGAGATCACACCATCCAACGATTATTTTTCCACGGAGTAACTATAAGGCCTAAGGCATATATATACACATATATATATATATTGAAATAGACAATGAACAATAAAATCATTCATGATATTGTAGGGGATCTTAAGTAGTGTTAGAATATATATATATATATATATATATATATATGATAATATATAATACACACACACACACACATATATATATATGCAAGTAAAACTACAAGCATATGTATACATATGAATATATATAGGTACATATATATATATATTTATATACGTAAAGGAAGAATGTACTGCAGCAGCAGCAATGCAAACGGTTGCATTAATTTATTTGAATTAGTTAAGTGTATTATCGATGTGCTATGTATACTATGTCTTACTTCACGCAGCTGGCTATGGTGGTATGGTGGATACAGAGCCAATCTAAACCCGCCACAATACATGCGGCCACAGCCATTATGATACCGCTGAGCAGCTAGACTTGCCTGACTCCCGTTGTACATACACTAGTGATCGCACATCTCGACAGCTAGTTCTAAACCGGTCCAATACCTCCGCACATCGGAATCGTTAAAACAATACGGACGAGCATATACCAAGGTAGAAATGGACTTATATCGCGCTCACGTTTGCAGCTGGATTATTATTAGCGCTGTCATCTCTGTCCGTGTGACTGTGACTCGGAAGGTTGCTTGGAATGATTATTATTCTCTCCGGCGCAAAGATAGTCCACAATTTTCCGGACGTACTTGAGGCGGTAGGCTAGATCCGGATGGTTGGATCTATAGAATGGCGAGTAGCAAACAAGATAAATTACATACACTAATGGTATGATCTTCGGTATGATACACATAGTACATAAGAAAGAAATAAAAGCATGCATGGCTGGATTGAAGTAATGATGGGTATGATGAAGCAAACGAGCAGCTTATACCCTGACGTATTAAAGTGCGAGAGAGGGAGTGAGAGCCGCGTACCCTAAAATACACAGGTATACGAATCTATCATTCATGAGTGGAACACACGGTATGTTACTTTGGTGTCACGTATCTCCAAAGGGTTTAAAACAAATAATAATAATGTTTCCCGGAGGTCTCATGAGATGCTCTGCATCTATAAATAGACGAGAGTAACCAAAGTACCTTGGCGGCCAAGATTCTAACGATATGGATACAGTATCACCTGTAATCGTGTGCGACCCCGAACCTCTTTTGTGTTGCTTTGAGGTGCACCCTTTGACTGCTCCATAAAATTACAGCATCCCAGCATTTGATAGAACATAGAGATTGTACACACTGTAGCAGGTTGCTAATAACTGCAGCAAAGCTGACTAACAGAGAGATCGCCTACCAACAACTGCAAACAAATAGGGCCAGTCCACAGTCAGTGACTGACAGTCGAGATACTCGACACTCGCTAGAAAGAACACGGGGCAAACTTTATGCTGGAGACAGAGGAGCTCAAGTATGGATTGATTTTTCAAGATATTAATTAGTTATACTGTGTAGCTATCGGAAGTAATTTAGGATGTAGAGTACAGTAGTGATAGGGTTTTATACACATAAATCCATAGGTATAGATATGGATATGACTATAGATAGACACACACACACACACAATATATATATATATCACATATATCCGGGCATCGCACAACAAACCACATACACCGTCAAATCGGCGTATCGATATATGTTAGACTCGCCCTCTGTATTGATGAAGAGGACTGCCCCAGTCGACCCCGAGACTAGCACCTTGTTGTGGTCGAAGAAATTGACCTGGGAGATGGGGACAGGTATACAGTTGTTTTAGTAAGAGATGCAAACACGTGTTATCAGTAGGCGAGGCGAGTCTATACACTGAGAGATGGGTACTATGTACATGCATTGATCGCCAACACGCGAGTATATATCTGGATGGAGCCAATGCTAAGCTGGAACGTTATAGCCCTCTCAGCCCTAAGCCAATTAATGTATTAAGAGGACATCCATACATACATATACACAGACATACAAACAAACATACGTACATACATACACTGAGACATAGTACTATGCATATGCATTGATCGTCAACACGCGTGTATATACCTGGATGGAGCCATTGCTAAGCTGAAACATCATAGCCCTCTCAGTCCTGAGCCAATGACTCACATGCACATAGCTGTGTGATCTGTGTGCGTTGCTGTCATCGACGTTGTGAACGTCCTCGCCGCACTGTGAGTATTGGTGGATGGTGTGACATGAGTGAGGTCCAGAGAAGCTCGTAGGTTGGAATGCACACTAGTCTTTCTTCAACTTCTAACTATACTACTATGAAAAGAATTGCGTTCCTAACTAGCGTGAATTTCCTATCTCACAATATATATAGCGGTGCACCCCGTAGGTATATATGCGTGTTTGCACATGCACATGTACGTACACAGACGTATATGTATAGGCTTAGACACGCCCGCGTGCTTGTTTGCGATAAAGCTGTGTGTCTGGTGTATACCTATCGCGTGATACATACATTTCATACAGCAGATACAAACAAATGAGGTCCGCACCTTCCGCAAGTTCTTGTACATTGTGCGTTTGAAATGTTCCAGCAAAGCCACTTTCTTTTTCAGCGCGTCTGGGGGCGATGTTAGCGATTCCTGGGTCTTGTCGCCGTTCAGGATGTATTCTACCTGGCTATAACACATAAGAGATACACAAGAGAAGATGGGGTACGTTTGTATCCGGGTATTAGATGTACGGCAAAGAAAGGATGGGAATAATTTGTATCCTGATAGTAGGTAAAAGGCAAAGGGAGGATGAGAATATGCGGTATCCGGATATTAGATATACAACAATGAAAGGATGGGAATAGTTTGTATTCTGATAGTAGGTGGAAGGCAAAGGGAGGATGGGAATATGTTGTATCCTGATAGTAGGTGGAAGGCAAAGGGAGGATGAGAATATGTTGTATCCGGATATTAGATATACAACAATGAAAGGATGGGAATAGTTTGTATCCTGATAGTAGGTGGAGGGCAAAGGGAGGATGAGAATATGTTGTATCCGGATATTAGATATACAACAATGAAAGGATGGGAATAGTTTGTATCCTGATAGTAGGTGGAAGGCAAAGGGAGGATGAGAATAGTTTGTATCCTGATAGTAGGTGGAAGGCAAAGGGAGGATGAGAATATGTTGTATCCTGATAGTAGGTGGAAGGCAAAGGGAGGATGAGAATATGTTGTATCCGGATATTAGATATACAACAATGAAAGTATGGGAATAGTTTGTATCCTGATAGTAGGTAAAAGAAAATGCTAGTAGTATTGTGCAGTCTGATTGTCGTCGTGATGAGAGTGTCATGGAGTCTTCAGTCAGTATTCACGTGTTGAGATTCTGCTGGCTGTCTGTACTATGCCCCTCACAGCTGGTTCACAGGCTATTAGTCCACTTTGATAAACGAAACGGCCATTTTCACATTGTTAGACGCACACATTCACTTCGATAGACGTCCACCTTCTCTGGTGTTGGCACTATGTAATGTAATACAGGCAACCTGTTGTCTCAGTCACGTGATCAATATTTATATGCCCTAATTGTCGTCTACTTAACACAGCTATCGGGTATCACCATACAAACGGAAACCAGCATACGTAGTACGTGTATAGTCACCATCGTTCAGATACTGTGATGATGCACACACACACACATACACACACACACAAAGTCAAGGCTGTAGCAACATACTCAGAGTCCGCTGCCAGGACGATCCGACTGTTGTCGTTGAAGATGGCGCCCACAGTACAGTCGCTGAGTTCATAGCTGACGCCGTACTTAGCGGTGTAGTCTAACCAACAGGCAACCCACAACAGAGGGGGTGGTTTGCTCAGAGGCTCTGTAGGGGAACGGGTACAGAGATGGTGTGTGTATATGGGGTGGTGTATAGCGGTTGGGATGTCGGGGGTGGTAGATAGAAGGGTGTGGTTGATGGGGCTGAGGTGAAGGTAGCTTGGTATGGGGTTTATATTTATCATCTGAGTAGATACGGAGATAGAGTATAGTGTAGAGCGCCGCCATACGCAGCGTCGTAATTGAAATAGAAACGAATATAGATACGCATACATGTACGTACACAAATACATATACACACACATACACAAATACATACATATCTATATACCCTGCATGTACGCCTCTGAGTGTGATTCGACATACTTATGGCAACATATATATCTAAAATTATGCACACACATACCCCTAAGGTTTCAAGTATATATCTGTAATTATGCACACACACACACACCTAAGGTTTCGAGCATATATCTGTAATTATGCACACACACCCCTAAGGTTTCAAGTATATATCTGTAATTATGCACACACACGCCAAGGTTTCGAGTATATATATGTAATTATGCACACACACGCCAAGGTTTCGAGTATATATATGTAATTATGCACACACACACACACCTAAGGTTTCGAGCATATATCTGTAATTATGCACCCCCCCCCCAAGGTTTCAAGTATATATATGTAATTATGCACACACACACACACACACCCAAGGTTTCAAGTATGCATCTTCAAATATGCACACACACACACACCTAAGGGTTTGATTTGGCTCAGACGTCTCTTTTCGTCCGTCTTATCGCCCGCTGCCAAGTGAAGACCACTGAGAGATGCAGCTAAGCTATTCAGAGACGCAGGCGCACTCAATGTTCTGCTGTGTGCTATGGTGTGATAGGGGGAGGTAGATATAAGGAAGGGTGTGTTAGCCAGTAGCTGAGAGATGCAGCTAAGCTATTGAGAGACGCAGGCACACTCGATGTTCTGCTGTGTGCTATGGTGTGATAGGGGGTAGATGCGTATAAGGAAGGGTATGATAGCCAGTAGAGAGGTACGTACAATAGATGTGTAGGTACACGGTTGCATAATTACATAGATACAGATAAAAGGATACATAGATAATAGATACATAGACACGTATACATAAAGACACACACAGACACACACATATATAGATAGATACACAAAGATAGACAGACAATAAATACATATGAACATACACACAAATACATACATACTTAGACAATAGATACATAGACACATATACACAGAGACAAATATACACATATACAAACGAGACACATCTACACAAAGATTCATAGACAATAATTACATAGACTAAACACGTAGACACACAAAACACCTAGAAAATAGGTACACGGATACATATAGACACATAGATAGATACATTTATTAAAAGGTCCGTACAAACATGCACATGCAAACGTATTATTAAGTACAAGCCTTCGCCTTTCTGCGCGACCAACAATCTCGTAGGACATTTTCAGTAGTAAATGCTATATGGGTTTGTAAACCCTACAACCCTAAACCCAACGGCGTAGCATCCCTACGTGATAGAGCCCTTGGCAGGCGAAGTGTGCCTGTTGCAGCCTCACTATACCGAGCCACTTCACACACACATACTATTCTTGTAGGTATGCTGGATATTTGTCCATTATGGAATATGGAGGTAGGTAGATAACACCCACATTGGCAAATACATACGTGAGCTATGGCATACACATATAAATACATATACACTCGGGGGTAGTATACAAACGATCCTAGAATCACATATCGGTACACATATACTCTCAGGGCTAACCCAACCAATCACAAACCCGTACTTATACACACGTGTGAATAACCACCAATCACGGATCAGTATGGATATACACTTTTATATAGCAGCCAATCACGTATCAGTATGGATATATACTTATATATAGCAACCAATCACATCAGTATGCATATACACTTATATATAGCAACCAATCACATATCAGTATGCATATACACTTATATATAGCAACCAATCACGTATCAGTATACCCACACACACTTACCACTGTGCCTTGCAGGGGATTCGATGCGTGTTGCTCGTGTGTGGTGCAATAAATGTGACGTCTGTTGGGCTGCAGTCACATCAGACTTCGGTGGCACTATCTCTATGTGTGTACCTGAAATTGGAAAGAGCAAACGGAATACCATGAATAGTGATTTTAATATATATATATACACACACATACACATACCCACCCATATCTACATATATATATATATGTACAACAAACCTACGTCAAAATACCTTACTATCGTACAGTCTCTACACAATATACACATGGTATATATGTGGCCCAAACCCTAAACCCTAAGCGCATACCGTATTCATTCTCCTCATTGGTTCTGCCCGTACTGGCCCTACTTGTCTGTCGCAGCCCTTTCTGATATGCGGTCGATTGGGTGTGCTCTGAGACCTGAACGGCGGTGAGTATGAGGAATCAGTAGAGGGACTATACATCAATCGTACTTTCGAAGTACTATGGTTTGTTTCATAGTCACAGACCTGTATGAAGCCAAGGATAAGACTGCATGGAGATTTATATATATGTATCATATTAGGATATATGGTATATATGAATAATAACCTATATATCTATCTTACTAAGATATATGTTATATACGAATAATAACTTATATATGCATCTTACTATGATATATGTAATATATGAATAACAACCTATACATCTAACTTACATAGTATCTATGTTGTATGCGAATAATAACATATATAATTATCTTATTACAATATGTTATATATGAATGGTTAAGCTAACACAATTAGTAAACAACATGAACACAACACAATACACAACAAACACAGTTAGTACAATCAATAAACCACATGAGCATAACACAGTAGAACTATACGTACACATCATTGTGTATATAACCCAGACAACATGAACACAACACAGTTTGACTCTACGTATACTTCACCGTGTATACAACCCAGACAACATAGACATAATATAGTAGGACTATATACATAAACATGACACAGATTGACTATACCAGTGTACATCACACAGACCCTTACCATCTTGGCGTTGTGTATCCTGACAGGTTTCGAGTTGCGCACTGAGCGTGACTCGATCCCTTTCACAGCCGCGGCCTTCTGCTCGTCTGTGCGCACGTCCACCACATTGCGATTGACCGTCCGTTGTTGTAACACACTGCTGTTGTTGTTTCGTTCGCTGCCAGGGGTTCTGAGTGATGTGTACTGGAATAAAGAGAGAGAGAGACAGTGTGTGTGTGAGGTTGAGAGTTTGGAAGTTGCTGTAAAAAGCATACTGGAATATATATATATAGAGTGTGAGTGTGTTAGAGAGAGAGAGAGAGAGAGAGAGAGAGAGAGAGAGAGAGAGAGAGAGAGAGAGAGAGAGAGAGAGAGAGAGAGAGAGAGAGAGAGAGAGAGAGAGTAGAGAGAGTAGTAGTAGAGTAGTACGAGAGAGTAGACGTAGAGTAGTAGTAGTAGAGTAGAGTACCGTAGTAGTAGTA